ATAGGCGTGACAACTGCGGGCCCTCGAGGTAGCAAATCAAGTCTTCATTGAAAAAACATTCAAGTGTTTTCCAGTGTTTATACTCGCGTTTTTGTGCGTTTTCTCTCAGCCGTGTAATGTGTAAAATCACGCTGTCATGGAAATAAGGTGTAGCAGCGAGCACAGATCCGTATCATACTCGTGTGAAGAAGCACTGAGCTGATTCTTCAACAATTGGCACCACCGTTCAACCGAATACGCTACCATGCACGTCCCAGACACCATGTCAATATGTAATCAAACGAATACTGTATACGACATATTTTTCATTACGTACAGATATTTTCGCGAATTCAGACTTATTCGGTATGAATTATTCGCGTGTTGTTATTTTCGCGGTCGGGAACGCGTTCGCGAAATTCGCGAAAATTAAACCCCAGCGAAATATGCAGCGTATACAGTATACGGTATATACGACGGTATGTAAACGCTCAGTTTCTGCGCGTAACTGCAACATGACAATATTGAGTACTCGCGAGCGCTTAGTCACATTTTCGTCAGCGTAACAGCCCGACTTCGCCCCTGCGTAAAGTCTGCGCGGAAAAGTCGTGGGCATGCAAAAGTTACCCAGCAGCTTATCAGTTCAAATTCAAGTACAAACACGCATTAGCATTATAACAGACTGTTGGTAACCGAATAGACGCTCGGTATACGCCTTAGATTATTCCTAATATACAGGTTTAATGATCGATTTCTGGCGATCTGGCTTTCTGGCGGAGAAATTCTAGTGGAAACCCAACAACTACGATGATCGAATGATAATGATGTCGCAATACGTGGACAAATGCACACGTGCACTAGTACGCCTGCGAATGTGACAAACTAAACAAAGAAAAAAAGAAGAAACAATTCGTGGAAATGGGTCCTCGCTATCAATGTGCTACTGAATCACGTAGTTCCATAGTTACACGTCCTTTAGGACGTTGAGAATTGCCTGATTCGAAACCTGACGACAGCCAGGGAGGGACTTGCCGTTTTGCCAGCGGCAAGCTTCTGGGATAAGTCCAGTGGTTTCCAATTGACTCCGGGCATAAGCCTCCCTATACCCACGGTGTTCATACATAAGCCTCTCTATACCCGCTGTGTGCATACATAAGCCTCCATATACCCACGGTGTTCATACATAAGCCTCTCTATACCCACTGTGTGCGTACATAAGCCTCCATATACCCGCTGTGTTCATACATAAGCCTCCATATACCCACTGTGTGCGTACATAACGGTCATAACCCTCTCTAGACCCACTGTGAGTGTGAGTTTACATGACCCATGCTAACCTAAGTGTTCATGACTGTGTCTGCGTATATACATGGCGCATCAAGCACATGGGCATATTATCGCGAAGTTTTTACAGCCAGTGACAGCCAAACCTCGCAATTCCTTTGTTTAGCACATATTTCGAAATGGTTTTTCTTAAAACATTTTCTCTTCTTCTCGATCTTTAATTCCTAAAAACGCTAAACTGAAATGCACGGTATTTGGTACGAATTTGAGAAATCTTCAGCGTTGAAGTCAAACACCATGGACTACATACAGTGCACATTTATCATTTATGAAGCCTTGTGTGAAACCAATTACCTGGGGGTGTGTGTTCTCCCAACGCACCTGGGCAGAGTCACCTTAACCCGAGTAAGCTAACCCGAGTTAACACTTAACCCGAGTTAAGAAACACGCATCGTCTACACGGAGTTTGTCTTAACCCGAGTTAAGCTAACGGAAGCTAGCGGGAGGCGGGGTTGACTGCGGTATCCACCCCCTCATCCCGCGGGGTTAAGCTAACCCGATCGAGTTATGACCTCGTATAGACGCTTAACCCGAGACAAATTTCCTCATGTAGACGATGCTTATTATGTACTACCAATGTTAAATATGGTTCAATCGTTTACAGGTTACAGGTTTACAGGTGGTGATTACAAGAGTTCTCTGTTAAAGGCTGTCATGTTTGATATACAATACATACAGTTGTAGTGTCTTTAGATTAGCTAATAAGTTAAATATTACAAAATTAATGTTCATTGTGATTTCAAAGTTAATTCTAGATGCCAGGAAATGGCTCAGATTGCAGGAAAATGCTTCCTTGCCCCTAGAGCTTCTGGGGGCCTATATGCGATCCCCTAAGGCCCCGGCAGTTTCTGGAGACTATACTAGCCAGCCCCAAGACCCCCGGGCTGTCGTTTCAGTTTTTTTCAACCCCCAGCAATTACACCTCTGCGTCGCCGATATATACCATCAAATCCCTTGTTTAAACATCTCGTCACTTTTAGATTATATTAGCGTATTCATAGACACGCCTTGAAAACGTTTACCGGCTCGAATACTTGGAAAGGCAGATCGTAACTTTTTCTTCGAAATGATGAAATCTTTTACAGGCAAGGGGGGAATTTGGTTGTGTGAACAGTACTGATTTCGGAAAAAGCAAAAACAGGATTTCCATGAAGAGCGTCGATATGTCTTCAATACCTATCTACATTTTAGTTCGTAATAGCACATTCGAGGCCAGTTCGAACGTGAATTTAGCTTCGCTACAAAGAATTCCTTCACGAGATGTTATTGCGCAATGATTGCGTTCGACATGCTGTATGGCTGCAAATATTCTGTTAGTCCGTATAAATGCTATTCCCCTCATTGAAGGGTATGCACGAATGCTGCCTTATGACAGCATCACAACAAATTGTTACTAGCCAGCGGATGTACATGAGTGTGATCGGGTGTTTGAAAAGGCACTTGCTACAATCGGAACGATTGTGCGTCACTTATTTGCTTCTGAACGGTAAGGGCAATAATGTTTTGTATTAAAAACACTATCTACCTCTGCTCACTGGGTGAATTTACATGCGCATTTGTTATCTGAATAAACAATTTTAGTTAGCTCACACAAAAGTATTTAGCATTTACACATGCAACACACGTGCAACGCTCGCTCACTCGCTCACTCATCCACCTGACCAACCACCCAACTAAAACCCACTCACTCACTCACTCACTCACTCATCCACCTGACCAACCACCCAACTAAAACCCACACACTCACTCACTCAGTCACTCACTCAGTCACTCACTCACTCACTCATCCGCTCACCCGCTCACCCACTCACTCACTTTCATTCAAACACTCACTAAATCTCAGACGCATGCACGAACTAACGCACGCACACATACGGATATGCAAACGAGACGAACTTTAATATAAAAGTCGCATCAGCGAGACGTTGGGCCGCCGTCGTATCAGTTTTAACAGTTATTTCATGCTATATCATTGCTGATTGTGCATTACATGGGTGCACATACTCTTGGGGGAATACCCTTTCATAGTTCCCCGTTATGGCAGTTATTCCCCTCGCGTGGATGACATTCTGCATGTACGATTAAGTCGTTAATTGTGACACCCAGTGTATTAACAGCACGAGTCTTCAGCAACATATTTATGTTAGAACCTGTAATGTTTATCCTGCTTGTAACATAAAATAACATACTTGAGCTGGCCCGCGTGCCTTATGTGCCCTGCGTGGCTTTCACACTCACACTATTACTCCCCAACTCACCCTTTCGTACAAAAAAAATGTTAAAAAACTCTACTAGTAATTTAACGGCACCTATTCCTTTTTACCTGTCCGTTTAAATCGTTTCTTTGTACGTATAATATTTTTTAATGTTTATCATGACGTCTGGAAGAGTACATTTGTATATTTTCCCTGTTACCACACTACCAAAATAGCATTCACGAAATTCCTCTCTATATTAGAAGCTGCCGTGCTATATACCACCTTATTAGACCCATAAAAGGTTGTAGCCTGAGATGTCATAGCGATAGAGATAGAAGTCATAATGCAATAATCCTAATATGTAATACAATAGGCCTACGTGGTAATTACAATAAAAATTATCACGTACGACCCACGAAGTTTAGATCTACTATTAGGCTATTAATCTACTATGACGAAATACTACACAGCTGATAACAGGAGATTATATCTCCAACATCCGCTACTCTGCTACGTGTCTGTCCTTGATTGTCTGAGTCAACAGTGTAGTAGCGGTACATTCCCCCTAAACCGAGGGGAAATAAACACTACGGGAAATAACCTGCACATTTACGGTACTTTACCTTTACGGGTTATTCCCCCGAGGCTGTTTGTCTGCCTTCAAAAGCTGCGAACCGAGTTGTTATGGGCCATGGTAGTAAGTTCCAGCTAGCAGCAACTTGGTAACTGCATCATCTTCGAGCATGCAAACGGTTTTGCAAAGTAAGCGAGTAGTTATTATTATTTGTTACGGCATGATTCGTGTGCTACTCGGCTCACAACAGAGATCAAAATTCGTGTGTGTGCGTGCGTCTGTGTGCGTGTGCGTGCGTGCGTGCGTTCGTGCGTGCGTGCGTCTGTGTGTGCATGTGCGTGCGTACGTGCGTGCGTGCGACCGACGCCGTGAAGTGACTGAAATATCTCTGTGGCTGAGTCCAGCGCATCTATTCTTAACGTGTTCTTTGTGTAATTGATTAACGACTTGCGAAGACTACGAAGACGGCGCGTTATGTGCGCGCTGCTATCAGATGGCATTTCCCTCCGCTGCTCTAGCGTTATCACCACAGTGATGATGCAAGAACGAAGTGCATTGAATAACGTCTAGATTAATATTGGTGCTTTTTAGTTCACACTTGTCGTTAGCCCGTAAGTGCTAGATGATGTTTTGACATTAAGCAGGATGAGCATGCTCTAATAAGTGTGATTTAACATTAACACGAATACTCACAAATGTGTTATGACTGATGGGAATAATGGATTAGTATCGATGCATGTATATAAATCTACTGCAGCTCGTGTCTACTAATAGTCATGTTTGTTGACAGGCCTCAAAACCAGCTGCTGCCACGTGGCAGAAAGAAGCAGACATCAACACGCTTTGTTGGTGGCTGTTATTTTTCATCCCTAGCAGAGCATCACGTTTGACTTTATCACTTTCAGACGCAGAGACGGCACAGATACACACTGAACAGTACTACGCAATGCTACCAGCACAGCCAGTGAAAACCAGTGCGCTCCACCCATGTTGCTACGAGGTGCCACCGGCCGTGCCCGCCTGCAACTGCATGGCCGGCGAGAGCAGCTACGGCTGGTTTTGGGATGACACATATGACACAGCGAATGCGCACATGGGTGGGCTTCGACCGTTGAGAACGTCACCCGAGGAGGTGGACATGTCGACGGAAGATGCCTCGGACGTCACGTACGCCGTACACGACGGAAAAACCAACAGCTGGTTACCAACACATCGAGAGAACATCGAGTTGCCACCCACTCCCTCGACACACACGTCTGAGCCCTATGAGGATGTGAGTGACTTCGAGAGTGGAATATTCACCTATGCCGATTGCCAAAGACGGCACGCGATAGCGAACACTGTCACACCTCCGCCAGACGATCTTCAATCAAGAGTACCAGAAACATTGCTGCAACAATATAGGGGACCAAAAAAAGCTCTAATGAGAAGACATTTCGATGAACAGCGGATAAACAATGTGAAAATAGAGAGTAGAGAAGAAAGTAGTAATCGCATGCATTTGGAAATTGCATTGCCCGAACCTCCAATATCAGAACCTTTGGCTAAACCAGAAGGAAAAGGAAAGGTGCATCAAAAGAAAAGGTTTGCATGCTCACAGTGTGCGACAACGTGCTGTAATCGAGGTCAACTTGAAGGGCACCTAAGGAGCCATACAGGTACACAATACATATTTATTACAAGAATACGCTAATACCCTGCTATAATTATTTATCGAAAAGGTGGCTACATTTCTCATGCCACAAGGCTATACAGCTGTATAATGTCAGGACACAATTAAAAACATCTTTGTTTGCCCTCACCTGACCCAGGCTGAAAAGTTTGGGTAGGTAGGTAGGCTTTTTTTGAGGGGGGTGTTTTTACAAATTCAGCATGGTGCCTACATGCTCGGGTGTGCTCGTGTGGAGATACCTTTTATGTTGAATGTTTGTTTTTCTTGGTACATATAATCAAGAGCTCATAATAGAGATCTCTATAGAGATCTCATTTATGAGCTCTTGATATAATGTATTGCCTGCAGATTTATATAATGTACAGTGATACAATTTGTAAAAAAAAAAGAAAAAAAAGAATGGGAAAGATCAATAAAAAAATTTTTTTTAGTCGGCCCCTTTTTGGCGGGTCAGTCGGATGAGGGCAAACAAACAATATTTTTATTATGGCCAGGCCATGCTGTGATATTATTTTTAATATAAAATGATTGTCTACATGTAGTTTTAGCTATTAAATATTTTGCAAATAACGCAGCCTTTTCTGTAGTACAGGATCGAGTATTACACCTGTTGAACCATCAGCCTTGAGCTCTTGATTGCTGTCTTTGCAGGGGAGAAACCATTTCCCTGTGCAACTTGCAAGAAGAAGTTTGCCAGAAAGGAGGAACTTACGCGCCACACGCGAATACACACGCGTGAGAAGCCGTACTCGTGCGAGAGCTGCAAGAGGAAATTCTCACGACGCGACCACCTCGCCAAACACCAGGCAACACACGACGCGATGTCGCAGCGTCGGACGCACATGTGCAACGAGAAACGCTGTGCGCGAAGTTACACTCGCTCCGATGCACTAGCAAGGCACCGCGAGAAGGCACACGGTATCGCCCCAAGACCCTGCCGGCTAAAGCAAATACGTGAATCCAGCTAGAGCACAGTTGGAGCAAATGATACTTAATGACTGCACACGTTACGTAGGTATCGAGCACGGTATGGTCCACGCATGATTGATCCATCCCCGTGCAGGCCCAGCCGCACAATGCTCATTGCAGTCAGTGATGATGACACCGCTCAAAAAATGACAAAACTCGGATATGGCCAAATATAAAATTCTATGACGTGCAATATGCCCCATGTAAGGTATCTGGTCATCTCAACTTCCTACAGGATGCAATTCCACATTCCCATATATTCAAGTGCATAGAAATGCACTGGTCATATGCTTTGCAATAGTGCAATCTCAATATATGTGTAGCCATGAGATGTGATGTGATTTCTAATCAGATGTTTATATGTTTTATGTTATATTTTCCATATTATCTTCATCTTTCGTACGCGTAAAACATTATGTATATCTACTATTGAGCAAACGAATAAAACCTAAATGTTTAGTAATTAATGTGGTTTTTTGTAGACAGGTTTGTGGTATCGTATCAGTTTTCTGAGCATGGTATCAGAATATTGTCAACAAGACTCATAGGATTAACATGTATGATTCATTACAAATCATAATCGGTCGCGTGCCACGGTCGGACTGGGACAGTTGGACTAAGCTCCCCTCAGTATTTGCACACACAAAACTCTCATTGACAATCAATGACACACATGTCAACTAGACAGAGTGCACTCACGGAGAGTGCATACCTCCGCAAGCGACATACGCCATACGACTCACGAACACACTCATGTACACGCTCGCAGGCTCGCTGGCTGACGCGCTAATATCAATCGCGCGAACACACGAACACACGCACACGAGAGCGAAAACACAACCTCCTCCAACTCCGTTGGGCGGAGGTAAATATAGTCTTGAGAACGCAAACATTAGCAAGGTTCATTAAAAAGTTATCATCGGGGTTACGACGATGCTAGTCTGCTGCTCAGGAGTAAGGACATTTAAGACACAAGACATAGCAAATTACTCGTTGTGGTTGCCTTAAGCGGGGGACACGCCATGCGAATTTCTTCGCACGTCTGCAGCAATTGTTAAATCACAGCGAAATTCGCATGGTGTGTCCGCTCAAGCGCGCGCGAATTTAACTGCGAATTTCATCCGCACCGAAATTCGTCCGAATGAAACATGTTTGATATTTTCGCTGCGGATTTTTACCGCTGCGTACAAATTCGCATCGTGTGTCCGTGGAAGCAAAAATCAAGCCGGCCGATGTTATAATGCAGCAAATCATTGATCAGTATGCTAATCACATGACCACATGACTGTTGGAGCCATGGTTGGAGCCGTGTGGCGACAGTAGATCGCGTGAAGTGTGTCCGCTCAATTATGGCATGCGGGTGCGAATATTTTTGCTGTGAATTTCGCTGCGGATATGATCGCAGCGAAATTCGCATGGTGTGTCCCCCGCTTGAGGAGTAGGGCCTATGCATGCCAGCAGACAGGATGGTATAGACAATTCAAGCCCCCACAAAATAACAAATGATTCCAAAATGAGTAATTACGTATAGCCAGGGTTGTAGCCAGGACAACTTTAGTGCCGGTTAATACGTATCAGTGATTGCATCATTTGCATATATTATTATAATAGCAACATGGTGCTTAGCCAGCTATACTGCATGTACTGTGCGCTGTACGATGTGATCAGATGACGATTTTACGCATAATTATTGTTGAGATTAAACTCAGTTGTTTTTTAAATTAATTCTAAGTGTATCAGTTGTGATTATTTGTAGATTGCTCACTATTTTGAAGGTAATTTTACACAAACTCAATCATTTTTGTGCCGGTCAGAAGGATGTTATTTAAAGCTGCGTGCCGGTCGTCCAACACCAGAGCCGGCTATTACCGACTGGCACCGACCGGCGTAGCTACAAGGTGCGTATAGCACATCAACAGGTCTATTTTTATTAGCACTTAAGCCTCGTCTACATGGAGTCACCTTAACCTGAGTTAAGAAACACGCATCGTCTACACGGAGTTTGTCTTAACCCGAGTTAAGCTAATGGCAGCTAGCAGGAGGTGGGGTTGACTGCGGTATGCGAGTACTGATAACCACCAAACCCACCACCACCACTTAACTCGAGTTAACGATTTTGCGCGCATCTACACGAGTCTTAACTTGGGTTAAGCTTAACCTGTAAGCTTTACTAGTAACTGTGATAATAATTATAATTATACCTTTAGAATATTAATTTACTTTAAATTATCAGGTAGAATCCACATTTAAAATGGAAAATGACTGTTCTGGTTAGATGTGCAGTAGATTTCTCCTCGTTATTTCCACTAACAAGGATTGTATTCTATGAAATGCAACTTTGAGCTACAGTCAATAATCGTGTGGTTTTTAGTATGACCGAAACCCTACCTACCTACCTACCTACCTACCTACCTACCTACCTACCTACCTACCTACCTACCTACCTTATGGATTTCTTTACAACCACGTTACCCTAAACAGACAGACGCGTTGTTTTACGGGCAGGCTGCGTGAGCGAGTGAGACTCACCTTATGGCGATGGCAGTGTTTCCCATGCGTTTGGCAGTGACGACGAGTTCGTGCAGCAGTCGTATCTGTATGACAGGCCAGCCAACCGAGCAGCCACGAGGTGCATCCTTTGGATCCAGCGACAGCTTGTAGCCCTTCAGCGTCTCAAGCAGCAAATGGTAGCACTAGAACATGCACACAGGTCGTCGGTTTTTTTTTGCAACAATAACCTATGAACTCTATCCGCTACAGGGAAAAGAGAATGTACAAGAACTCCATAGCATTATGCTAAAGAATTCGCTATCAAATGTGACTGCAAGTTTACTATAGCAAGGTTGTAAATGTAACACTAAAGAATCACAGTTAATCTAGGGGTTCATAAGTTTATGGAAATTAACACTCATCTTTTTAGCTACTCATAATACACCGTCGATATTTCATAGTACAGTAAAACTCGCATAAGATGCCATCGTCTAACTCGTCAATTCGCTGAAGTCGTCATGGAAGTCAAAGTCCCGATTTTCTCTAATGATAAACCCATCTGAATAAACCCCCGCCAACGTCGTCATTTATAAGCCATCATTTTGTACGAGTCGTCGCCCTCAGACAGGTCCCATGTAATACAAACAACAGTAGAATTCTATCTGTATGTCGTCATCAGAATTGCCGATGGCGCAGTGTATGCAGTCATGTACAGCGAATTTCTGGTAAAATTATGACTCATTCTTTCGCAGAAACATATATATGCAGTCACTCTCCAATTCGTCGAAATGCCGGCTTTGTAAGTCGTCAAAATGACGATATACATGCATAAGTCGTTATTTTGGTGACTTACACATAAGTCGACAAAGTGACGACTTACACATATATCGTCATTTTAGTAAGGCCATAACATATAGGTGTCGTTACCGTTTCATGCTGAAAAAAAATAGGGTAGGTAGGTAGGGAAAACATTTTATTTTATTGAAACATTTTATTTACAAACCATGTCCGAAGGATGTGCGATGTGCCTTTTGAAGCAGGAACTGTCCAATTCATATTTTTTATACTTTAAAGAAAATTGACAATAAAATGTTTAGGGTCGCTGGGAATAAATATGGTCGGTCGGGAAACGGTAACCACACCTATATTTTGTTTTGGCCTAAGTCGGCACAAAAATTCTGGCCCCAAAAGTGCCGACTTATGCGAGTTTTACTGTAGGAAAAACTGTAGTCAATAGTTGTGTCATACCTGTGCCCATGCTGGGTTAGGATTATGAGGTGCGACACATTGCATTGCAGCAACACGCTTAAAGAATGCTGCTTTTCTCTCCATTCCTATCTGGCTATAAAGCTGAGACAATGCACAATATCGTTGAATCTGAAAAATATGAACGTCCATCTATACAACCTTTAAAATATCAAATAAAGTATTCTTTTAAAATTGTCATTAAACCCAGTCCTCGCTTAACAGTGTGGTTACATTCCTGTAACAAGCAACAGCGTGATCAATTTTCAAGATAGGAAATTGATAAAATACACATAAGCCTCGTCTACACGACGAACCTTAACTCGAGTTAAGCTAATCCGAGTTAAGCGTTAACTCGAGTTAGCGATTATGTAGTGTCTACACGACAACACCCGATAGCGATTATTACCGATTTATTATGCATGCGTGCGTGCGTATGTAAACGTGCGTGTGTGCGTGCGTGCGTGAGTGGGTGTGTACGTACACGCGCGTTCGTGCGTGCGTGTGTACCTACACGTGCGTGCATGCGTGCGTGCACGTACACGTGCGTGCATGCGTCCGTGTGTGTGCACGTACACGTGCGTGCGTGCGTGCGTGCGTGCGTACATGTGCGTGCGTGCGTGCGTGTGATCTTACACGTGCGTGCATGCGTCCGTGTGTGTGCACGTACACGTGCGTGCGTGCGTGCGTGCGTGCGTGGAGGTACACGTTCGTGCATGCGTGCGTGCTTGTGCAGGTACACGTGTGTGCATGTGTGCGTGCGTGCGTACGTGCGTGTGTGCGTGCGTGTGTGCGTGCGTGCATGCATGTGCACGTAGACGTGCGTGCATGCGTGCGTGCGTGCGTGTGCACGTACACGTGCGTGCATAAGTGCGTGCGTGCGTGCGTGCGTGCGTGCGTGCGTTCGTACGTACATCGTACTAGTGTTGCCGCCTATCGTGGAGTTATGTACTATTCGCTAACTCGAGTTAAGCGTCTACATAGGGCCTTAACGTGGAGTTAAGGTTCGTCGTGTAGACGAGGCTATATATACAGTACACAAATTCAATAGGATTTTCATAGAAAATACAGGTTCATTACATATACAGTACATAAATTCAGTAGGATTTTCATGTAAAATATATATTATACATTCAAAAAAATAACTATATAAATTTTTAATTAATGAAATAATAAAATAATTTTGTATTGTACTCTGATGGGTAGCCTAAAATGGAACCCAACAAAATGTAATATATATATATATATATTGTACATATTGTTGTAATAATTATAGTAATACTCAGTAGATAAAAATGATTATGCTAATAGAAAAGTGAGCGGTTAGTCAATATTTACCCCAGTCATATAATTTGTTTTTCGCATCAAATTTTCCTCATAATCAGGCGAAGATAAACTAATACAATAAAGATAAGACTCATACATTCATTGCACCCATTTTTAACAACTTACGTGTAAATTTTGTTAGATATCTGATGATAAAATCGTATACATCAGATACATCGATATAGATATTTGCTGTACCGTGCAGTACTAGAGACGGCATAATAGTAGCAAAACTGTGTTGGGTGACAACAACTTTACATCGAATCGATGGGTCATAAAACGACGTTATCAGAATCATGGGTATTGAAAGAGTAAAGTCATTGTATCGAAATAACGTTGTCTGAGAAAACTTTAAGCAAGGACTGACTGTGTTAACTTTGTAAAATGATTGTAAACTCCAGACACCAATGAATTGTCATACTGGGACTTTGTTTCATGGCAACATCTTTAACTTATCTAATTCATATCCTTAACACAAGAGGCCAACCGTCTACAATATAGTAAACAACTATTTCTTCCAAGCAGAATACACACATGCTTCACACATATGAATAATTTTTACCCATGAAAACTGTCTTGTTTTACATCATGGATTTATAAGCATAGACTATAGAAGTGTTTACTGTAAATGGTATGAGGCAACTTTCAACAATCCGGTGCACTTGCTTGTTTCTAAACAGTCACAGATTACTATATAATAGAGTGCTGTCAATCAACAAACAAGGACAACGGATGGCATATATATGAATTACACTTATACATTACACAAAGTTTTTAGCAATTTGTACTGGTTGTATACTGATATACTACCATGTATATCAGCTTCAAATATTCAGAATATAAATGTGCATCACAGATTTCTGCATGGCATCATTTTGATCACTTATCACAGAGCACATGCTTGGGGAGTTAACAATGAACAACAACAACTAAGAACAGAGTCTTGCACAACTCTGGCATTTGGTACGATTCTGAGCTCAAGTTGGTTGAATTAAACATATTAATTCGTAGGTAAATTAGGGCCAGTGAACGTTGGATTTCAAATAATTTACCCTTGCACACTCTTTTGTTTTTATTCACAATATAACACATATCATGCAATTCATAACTAAAATCAAAGATGCTAAAACTTACCTTCTCATCATCAGCAAGCTGCAGGTTGATGAACAGCACGTTTTTGAGGAACTCTGAGGCAAGCAAGTTTTTCTGTAACAAGCAAGATCATTGAAGTATTAGATCTTATTTGGGTAGCTCATCCTGCAGTCTCACAACGTAAGATTAGCTGCTTACTGTAGATTATTAATAGAGTAGTCAGGGGCGTAGCCAGGATTTTGAAAGTTGTAGGCACGACTATCTGAGCGGAGCGCCACCATCGGTTGGCGCGGAGCGTACAAGAAAATTTTTGGTTTTACAAACCCCCCAGATGGCCGAAAACGGCTCTTCCCGAGTGTTCATTCTGGTTCCCTGGCCTCTTGCTAACTTGAGACACCTCATTCAATATCACTTTTAAACCCAAAAAACAAACGAGTTAAAATAGTGTTACGAACGAGTTAAAATGTTAAAAAACTGACAAGATCGGATCCTAGTCTTTTTCGGCGGGTAGAGTGTTGAATGAAACGGCACGCGATAGAAATGACAGCCTAGATGACAGAAGAATAGGTCACCTAATTTAGCCATATTCTTGCTACGTTCATTTCAATAGTTTTTCCTGTCTAGACTCTTAAACTCGTCCAGCAAGCTTATGGATTTGAATTATGGGTGTTTAAAAAAAAAAGATAACTTGGCCAAAAAAAGTGTAGGCCCGGGCCTACAGTGCTACATACTGGCTACGCCCCTGGTAGTAATACTAAAGGAGGGTGAGTTTATCTATACCAAAATGTTATATTACAATGCATTAATTACAAGCATAAAATTAGATGCAGGATTATAACCAGCATATACACCCTAGTCAATATAATATTATGTGCAAATATAACAATACATGCAGTAGAGAGCAAGTGTGGTGACATACCTGTTGAATAATTAGAATTCGTGTGGCTTTAATGCTTGCTTCTGTCTCGATGATACCAGCTGCTTTAAACTGTTGTAAGAAATGCAATCAGTCAATAAGAAATTGACAACCAGAAACAGTGCACATTATTTCATAAAAGATACACATACACACATAAACAAATATTTCCAATATATAGTACAGTATATGGTAGTGCTTACCATACAGTTTATGGTTACCTTGCTATAGTGCAGAACAACCTCCTTGTACTTTTCAATGACTTCTTCTGGGGTGAGGCAGTTCTTGATTTTGTAATCATACCTGTCTATGCCATTAGGAAGGCTTGACGATGTAAAGCTACCTACAAGACATAATCTGTGTTTAAGAGATGTTCGAAAATAGGTGTCAGATCTAGCAGATAATTTAAAATCAATCAAATGCTATGAATTTATGTATTTGAGTAACTAGTTATGTATCTAGAGAGTAAGCTATTAGAGATCTAACGTAACCTACATCTACCGTTACATAATTGGTTCATTCAGTGTCCTTTTCTTCCCAGAAATAACTATAGAAGGCGTATCAATCAAAAGTGCTTGTAGACATGGAAGCCTAGCATGGTATATCTGTTTGGAATTAACGCACTGGGAATAAGCGATTAATTTAATGTTTGTCTGGAAATAATCTGTTTGTTCTTGACCATGGTCTAGGGTATCTGCCACTGTTATTTGATGATGTAAAGGTCAAAGGTGCAAGTAGAACGCAAGATATTCTGAAGTTCCGAGAGTTGAAAGAAGGCGAGGATGAGAGATTTTGTGATCTCGTACAGCTAGTCAGAAGAACATTTAACATCTTGAAACAAGTTGGGAAAGAGGCAGACTTAAACAACAACCACATGTTGTCTATAATAGAGTGGAAAATGACATTGGAAGATCGAAAGATATATGCAAGGCAATTGGAACATGATAAAAGAGAGGCTTCTCTAGAAGGATTACTAGCATTTCTCTCAACAGAGAAGAGTAGGGTAAGAGCATCGGCACAGGTGAGAAACAAGTTAACATGAGTCAGCGTCAGCAACCACCAAGTAGTCTAAATCACCTCAACAGAAGTCAGAAGTGCTGGGTGTGTTTCTCCAATGAACATTGGCCCGATCAGTGTAATAAGCTAAAGGAGATGACGGTGGACGATCGTCATAAAGTTGCAAGAGAAAATAATGCTTGTTATAGCTGTCTTAAAAGGCAGGCAAAAGTCACAGCATGAAAACCTGCAGAAGAAGAAGACAATGCACAAGAGATAGTTGCAGGTATTATCATCATGAACTCCTTCACGGTGCAATAATAACCAATCACGCCACTATGGCTGTCGATCAAAACCCAGCCATGCTCCCTATGGTAACCGCAAGGTTAGGAGAACACGAGAGAGAAGTGAGTGGAAGTGTGTTGTTGGACTCTGGAGCTAATATCACACTTGTGAGAGGTTGCCGAAAAATTTGGATGTGAGAGCAGGCCAATAAGCATTGAAATAGGAACTCTAGGTGGAGATGTCCAAGTACACCAAACAAGAATGACTACTGGGACAAAAGCCCTGACCTACTGAATGAACTCTTTGGTGTTCTTTTGAGATTCCGACAGTGCCCAGTGGCTATTGCTGGAGACATCAGCAAAATGTACCATCAAGTGCTGATTCCGGAGAAAGACCAACAGGTGCATAGATTTCTATGCAGAAATTGTGAAAATAGAAAACCAGATGTCTATATGATGAAAGTGGTTACATTTGGTGATAAGCCTGACCCTTCTATGGCATTGACGACACCGAGGAAAACTGCTTCTGAAGGAGCAAAGGATCATCCCAAAGCTTCTAAAACTATGGATAATGATACATATATGGATGATATATGTACATCGGTTGAGTCCATTGAGAAAGCTAGGCAATTGACAAACGATATTGATAAAGTTTTGAAGATCGGAGGGTTTAAAGTGAAGGAGTGGGTATATACTGAGAGTATTACAAACGAAAGTGTGATAGAGGATGAAGGCAGAAAACCTAATGAAATGGCAATCATAAAGGAAGCCGAGGAACACAAGGTTCTGGGCGTTGTGTGGGACCCGGCATCAGATAAAAAATGAAGTACAAGGTAAAGCCGGTTCACGTAAAAGATTAACAGATATTGACGAAACGAATGGTTCTAAGTGAATTAGCCAGGGTCTATGACCGGATTGGGTTCACCGCTGCATTCCTCATTCGAGGAAAGATCTTGATGCAAAAACTATGCCAGAGGGGTATTGAATGGGATGAAGACCTACAGGCATCTGAGAAATCAGAATAGAGAAAGTTCTTCCTAGAGTTGGAGCATTTAGAGGGGGTGTCATTCCAAAGATGCCTCATGTCAAAACCAGTGCCTGTTGAGCTTGTAATTTCCTGCGATGCCTCAGAGGATGCCTTTGGTGCTGTCGCATATGCCAGATGGGAAGAGAGTAAAGGAATCTATGGTGTAAGGTTCCTATCTGCCAAGTCCCGTGTAGCTCCACTGTAATGTTTATCCATACCACGGTTAGAGTTGCAGGCGGCTGTCATTGCATCTCGGCTTTGTGGTACCATAAGGAAGGAGATGTCAGTATACTTTGAAAGGGTTGTATTTCTATCAGATAGTATCATTGCATTGTCTTGGATCCTGGGCCAGTTCCGACAGTATAAGACATTTGTAGCCAATAGAGTCTCAGAAATTCAGAGCAGTACAGACCCTTCAGAGTGGAGACATATACCAGGAGAATGCAACATATTGTATATTGTATAAATTGTACCATATGTCAAGTAAGGTATAAAGCTTGAATGAAAGACGATGGAACCAAGGCTCTAATAGGGGGATACAATGAGATTGGTAAATCTCTCACCTTAGGAATGTATTTAGGAAAATAATTATCCTATAGCTATGTTTCATATAAAGAATAAAATTATAGTTGTAACTTGTAGCTGCCAAGGCCATTGCTGCTATTAAAGTGATTACGTCACGAATTTCTAGCACCATCAAGTAGTATATTTGTGTGTTATTTGTACAAAATAAAATGTATGAAAATACAATTAGTGTTACTGTTTACTTTTCATGCTTATATACCTTCTTTATATGCTCTAATTTGCCAGTGAAAAACAGAGAGACGCCAGTATCTGAACAGTACTAGGGGAATAGTGTTCGACAACAGAAATTACCAAATCGTCTAGATTTTTGCAAATTTAACCAACGTAAAAACATTTTTATAAGGTGAGAGTTTGAGGATATATTTAGTAACGTTAGTTCTTACTTTTAATGTAAAAAAATGGAAATTTTTTTTTACAAATTTTACCATGGAAAATTCGTGACGCAGTCAATTTAAGCACAGATCGAGCTAAGTCACAGGAGCCACGACTTGCTTTAATCTAGAGGCTACATAGTTGATGCAGATGTGCTTGACTTACATATTATAAATTGACTATTGCTCAACAACTACAACCACCAGTGACCATTCTATCTAGATTGTAGCAGAAAGAAACAACTGCTAAACCTAAATGGCAATTTACTAAATAAAGTATTAGAAAATATATCAATAATCATAACCTTGAGCCTAAAAATCCTGAATAAAATACTTACTTCCTATGTATCAATAGGCTTAATACCTCGTGCAGTCTACAAAATTTGATCCTACATCAAACTAGTCTGGGCCAGACCCAGGCCAGGCGCGCGCTAAATCGCAGCATAGACACAAAATGCTAAATCGGGTTAAGTTAGCACGAGTTGACTGCGCATGCTCAGTATAGCTTGTTACGTCACTCAGCAGACAGCTACTGTATTTTTATGTGACCGAGACAAGCCTATGTGCATGCGTATATTGAAATATAGCCCTTGCCTGGTCCCGGATTGCATACACACACAGTTTAGCGCTAACTTAGTACGGACTAACTTAGCACGCTTTGAAGCGGGCCTGGCCCACCACCATTTGCGGGGCTAACTTAGTCTGGACTAAAGGCATATTAGCCTGAGATTGCGTGTAAACACTGCAAATATTTAGTGCACGCCTGGCCCGTACTAGTTTGATGTAGGATCAAATTTGCAGTCTGTACCGGGTATAAACCTATTCATAATACTAAAATTAACTGCAGTATAAAATAATTATTTAACAAGACTAGTAACCACTTAGGATCACTCAATGCATTTAGAAAATGTTATTTACTTGTTCACAAATTATTCCTATGATATTATACGTGAGCATATATGCAGTATTGTAGCAGTGCTGAGTTAGGCATGCACTAACTGCTATATAGCTCTAACAAATATAACTGTATAACACCGGGAATACATGATATAGAATGGAATATGACTCACTCAAAACATTCAACATCTGCATGCCTTAGTTTACCTAAGATTTATTATTATTAAGATTATATATGCGAAACGCAATAAAAATTACATCAAAAGTAGCAGGACTCGCTCTAGGTTTTTAACACGTCTGGTCCAACATGCCTTCAAAGCTGAAGCTAATTTGCAACATCCCATAACTCCTCCAACAAGCTTTAACTGCCTAATTGACATCCCTTGATTTCCAGCAGTGATCACTTTTGACAATCTCAAGTCCCAATGAGCCAGTAGTCAGACCGCTACTAATCTGTAAATATCACTAGTTGAGGCACGAAAGAAATTATGAATCATGTCAACGGAGTATTTAAACTCCACCTGTTTCACTTCACTGCATGTGAAAACTCACTTAAACATTGGATGAAACACTAAAACAATGTTTGGCGTTCAATGCTATATCTTCATTACAGTTATTGATACAAAGTAAAGCAAGTTGGAAGTAGAATGCTACTTTTGTTGTAATTTTTTTTTCATGAGTTTCACGCTATAAATTATATGTAAACTAAGGCAAGCAGATGTTGAATTTTCATGTTTGAGGTGAATCATACTCCTCTCTATATATAGTACCCCGAAAAACAGATTACATCGCAGTATTCGTCGCCATAGTTAAAAGCATCTCAGTTAATCACATGTCAGGAAGCTGTTTCTGCTATCGGCTGAAGAAATCTGTTTTAGGTTAGATAGAAACATCATAATTCATGCATTGCAACATAAAAAAGCATGCAGGACAATATTGTCATGCTAATCTCATTACATTGCATAGCACTGACCTGCTTTCTTATTTGGTTTGAGAAATCCTGTCAATAAAAGGTGAAAGAATTGTGACATACACAAAAGGCTCACGTAAGAAAAACACATAAAAATAAAGATTCAATGTTTCTATAGCTGCATCTATACGAGAAAATATATCCCAGGTTGGTTATCTACACGCTATGGAAACCCATGTTTTTAAATTGTGGGTTTTTAAGTCACACTTTTATTGACAATACGTTTTGGATTTGGGACAGAACAGGGATTATTTAAAGAGGACCAATACTCTCATTGTCATATGTCATAATATTGTCATATATTATTCAGGGTCCATACAGATAAGTCAAGACAAAAGTCAAGGAGTTTTCCAGGACATTTCAAGAACAATTTCTATTTTTTAAGTACTAAAATTCAGTGTTTTTAGACTTAGCACAGCTTGAAAAGATACATTACATGGAATAGAGGACATGAAAACTTCTGATTCAGAAGAAAACAGAGATTAACTCTGAAAGGTATTCGTTATGATGAGGTTAAGGAGATTAAAAACATGCACATCTCATAAACTTATACATATTTACATTATACACAATTACATATTTATTGCTTTATATTTCTTATTTTATAAATTCCAGTAGTTTTGAGTACTTTTCCAGGGCAATAACAACTTTTCCAGGACAATTCCAGTATAAAACACAATATTTTAAAATTCAAGGAGTTTACAAGGAGTCGTATCAAATTCCAGGACATTTCCATGCCTGTGCGGACCCTGTTGTTTATTGCCTACAATAGGATATATACCTACATTTTTCTGTTATCACACATTTGCCTTCATTATTAAACAGAAATTTTGTGTCTTACCACGACACCTTATGACTGCTCTGCCTCCTGGCAAAGTTGCATTTTTAATTGGTTTGTTTCAGACCGGGTAATAATTACAAACGTACCATTTAACCTAACGACCTTTCGCTTAAAATAAATACACACATATTCTAACTGAAACTAATAGTGTGCTATGAGATATTTAATTGAGATCCTTTTCTTCATAAACTAATAAAATATAAATTCCCTTGGTCTGTAGTCTGCAGCTGAAGTTAAGTAGTGCAAAATTGTTAGTGGATTCACATGTAGTGGCACCACCAAGATTATAAGCAAATGATTATCAAGTTTTAAAATAATTAAAAAAAATATTATTAACAAATTGGTGTTTTTCAACGCAGCGTATAATCACAAACTTCGAACGACACAGGTTTTTCTAAGGTGGTTTTTTAAACCATGTTTTTCAAAGAATAATGTAAACCTGCCTTAAGCGTATTCAAATGTATTTGTATGCCTTTCTAGAATGATAATATTATTCTGTGTATATATACATAGAATACATATAGTTCAATTATTAATGGCACTACCTGTTCTTTTTATACAAGAAATAAATAACAGCAAACACGACATCTACCATTCAGGATTAGGATTTTTCTTTCTTGTTTCATGATTTCTTTCACTAGTCAATTAGGCTAACTAACTGATAGGACCACCAGTTGCCCTCCAGATTTACTAGCCAAAATTGTTTTAAATAATGGGAATCTGAATATCGTAAACAATGTGCATTTGCGATGGCATTCACTGTATTATCCAGATCCAGATATAATATAGTAGTCCCTGTTGTCAGTACAGGTCAAGAACCACGAAAGTGTCCTGATTGAGTGGCAGTCCCAATTAAGCTGAGAACATTACAATGTGCATAATCGGTCGGGTGACATCTATCGTGACCCTGACATGCAATATTGCCTCAAATCGTTCAAATAAGGTCAGATTCAGGTTACTCAACCCCGGAAACCGATAAAATGAGGTGCTGTTTGTATATATTGACAAAAAAACGCTTTTTTGACCCCAAAATGACCTTTAGGGTGACCTTGAGGGGTGACCTTGACCTCAAATCACTGAACTAAGATTAGAATCAGATTCCCAGACCTTGAAAACCCCTAAAAAGTGGTATTATTTATGATTATAGCTCTTTTGGATGTTTAACTAGATTGCCCCCCAACCCGGGTGGCGACCATATTGGAATTTGCCAATATGGCGGCCCCGGGGGGGCGCCCATTCCGGCGCCCGCCAAAAATCGAAAAAGTATGGTATGGGCAACATCTGGGCCAAATTTGGTGCTTTTAGAAGAATGAACCAAATGGCCCCTTTTTAGCCCCAAGACCCGGACTGTTTTTCAAAGACAAATGTCATTTAAAATTTTCGATGTCGATTTCAAGCCTTGTTATTGCTTTTTAATGCATACATAAAGTTCACCAAAAAATCAATGTTAAACATACGTAAATGAAAAAAATAAGTTACAATACGGTGCAATAAATACTCATGAAGCACACAGAAACCCCTAACATTGTATCACGTGAAAACGTGTGTGAAACATTGTGAGTACTTTGTGAAGAAAACCACATTAAAGACGTGAAGAAATCCATGGTGTGTCTATGAAGAAACATTCACAACCTCTGGTGCATAAAGCCAGCACTAACTGCCCTAATCAGGACATTGTACACATGAATGAATATATTATATATAATATATATATACGACTGGTAAATTAGTACCTGATCTACGTCTGGTGTGCTGACTCGCTGCCATTAGCAGGTCACCACTGCCACCAAAAGAGGAGTTGCGTGTCAGCTGGCCAGCTTTTTGCGGCTCAGGATACAGGATGACAGCAGATGAAGTGCAGAGTCCTTCCAATGCACCTTAAATCAAAAGCAAATGAATTACTTGGGATAAATATGATTACTAATTGCAGTGTACTGTGCTACCACGTTCTTAGGTCTTAAAAATACAGAGACACTGAGGCAGCCAAAACATCTTGCAAACAGCCCCAAGGTCACTCTTAAACAGACTTAAAGATATAAAATTATATTGTCATAAAATAGCTGCTAACCTACTAACTCTACCAGTATTACAACCACAACCTTGACAACAACTACTTAGCTGAAAATCATAGAATTTCTCAATGCATTTAAAATGCATTTTTCCTTATCACTATGTTGTTGACAATTTAAATTATTTAATCCTCATCACGCCAGCCAACATTTGATGGTTTATGTGCACAAACTTTATCAGGTAATCTTTATATGAAATATAGCATATGTTGAAGAGAGTTGGTTACTATCAAAGTATAATGATTGTCTGCTTGCCTGCTGGATCACATCACCTCCCAGAACTTTTATGATAGCTTATTGAATGACAAACTATGGATGCCTACCTCCTAGCCACAGCCAGTCATTCACAGACTTTAAATTCTCAATCGCTGCATTGTAATGAGAAATGGCTTCTCCGGGTAACCCTGCCATCAAGTTCAAGTCACCCATCTGCTTCCTTAGTCTTCCCTGGCACCGCTTCTTAAAAGCTCTGAAAACCATTAGGTAAATCATTATCATGCTTAATAAAGAACATGAATTAAATATTAACTTTATGGCATGGCTGCTCAGAAAAACAATGAGAGTTCAACACTAATACCAAATACTATCTTGAGTATAATTTCAAACACAAGAAATGTTTACACTTGGTAAAATGATCATATATATCTACTATACTCCTACGCCAACTTTACGTCTTGAAAACGAGCTCTTATTTAACTTTGCCAAACGAATTGGCAGCTGCACATTAAAACATGGCTTTAAGTGTATGTTCTGTGACCAAACACAATGCATGATGCATGTATACTTATTTATGTTATTAAACTGGTTATTCTTGCCTTCCTTCATGATCAATTGTCACTCCTTCCGATTTCTCAAATGGTGCCATCAGCAGTGGCAGTTTGTCTGACTTTTCGTAAGTCCGATCCAAGACTTTAGACTCCAAGACCCAAAAGAGTGAGCATGCAAATTCCTTCAGGTGTTCCTCCAACTGTCCACAGTGTTCAGAACTAGGGTAGACTATCACGCCACTCCAGGAATCTTGCCGAGCTTCATTAACCATGCCACGTTTCTCATCCTGTATGCTATCATTCTTGGTGTCAAGTTGATCAAGGCAGGTACCAACAACATCAGACGATGGTGATAGCAACTCCTCTACGCCATTCTTGTCAACTCCCACACCCGAATCCTTGTCGTCAACTGAGTCTGTTTCCTCAGCCGATACTCCAAACAGGAGACATCGAGAGTCAAAGAGTGTCTGTGAGTAATATCGCTTCATCTCTTTATAATCTTTGGTCAAGGCCTCCACATCAGAATTTGACGTACACTTTCCAAGGCACACAAGACCCATAGCCTTTCGGTGTGCTTGGAAATCACCCCATTCATTGCTATCGGTAGTGTATGATTTCCTATAACGCAGCCACATACTGCGCTGTTGGCCCGGAATACGTACATGTTGGAGTCTTGAAATGCGTTCAAAAAGTCGGTGATATGACTTCGACTTTATCTGGGTGCCAATTAGTTTTACAACCACCAGTAGACACTGGTGGTCTTCGGCACTCTGGGAATAGTCCGGGACGCTCATACTATAATAAATACTTTAAAACTTTCCGGTACTGGATGCTGAAATGATAAAAACTTCCCATCAGTTATCAGTTATTTGTATGCGACTATAAACTGGTCAATGATACAATGGACGAAATCAGATCACGTCAGTCGTATTTGCAAAAATATATATAAAGAGAGGATTTCACACCACAGTTAAAAATACCTGGTATTTAATGACACTGTCCAGATATCGTAATATAACGTGATTGGGCCGATTACTAGTGCTCCACAAAACGCATGATTTACATAAATTCGTAGTGCTGATGAGATGCTGTCAAGTAATAGCAGTTTCAAACCAGTGGTGGGTGTTGTTTATTGACATTTATTTGTGAATTTGAAATTTCAAAACTATGGAAAACTAAAGCAGCGCCAACGTTATTATGGAAAACTATCATAATTTTAAAATGTCATAACTTTTGCATGACACTTTACTTCAAAAGTTATGACATTTCTGATTTCATACTTGTGATGTCATAATTACTTCTAATGATTTTGACAACGGGCACGCGCTTGCCGTGTTTTGTGTATTTATCCTTGGTAGTTATCCAGTCAATCAATCAAAATATTTCTGACGTTGCCAGACGGTGGCCACAAAAATATGAAAGTGTCAATGACACTGTAGCTCACCACAAAAAAGGACACAAATGAGTGAGTAAGAAGAAGTCAATTTTAATTGAGCAACCATCGACGTACATTATAGAAACGATTGCCATCTGTATATCGCAATAATAATTTATGAACTAAAATTAATCACAATTTGTGACCGTAGATGGCGCTATACCCGCTTTGTAGCAATGGCGTTTGAAATAAATAGGTTATGCTGCCTTCCGACATGTTTTGTAAAATTTTACTCTAATATAGATGTTTTATCGGCAGGGTGGAGAGGAAATACCAATTTTGCATTAAAGATATTGTCAATGAAATCTTGAAAAACAAACCAGACGAGTGTGACACCACAGACTGTTTGTGTCTATATAATATGCTATATAATTGCCAAACTCGACCTAATTTGCATGAATTTTTTTTAAATATCAAAACCCTAACCCTAACCCTTATTCATTCACATACCAAAAATGAGCAAAATCCGTTGAACCTGAACTGACTAATGGCAATTCCCATTTTTGCCAAAAAATTGCCGTGGCTCGAAAGTACATCGACTAGCGTGCTCCAAAATAGGACGTTTAATATGGGAGCATAGCAGTAACAACTATACCCAATTTCAAACATGTGGGTCAAACGGTTCCTGAGTTATCGTTGACCGTAGCGAAATGTTGACGGACGGACGGACGGACGTACGACGGACGGACAGACGGACGTACGACGGACGACGACCCATGGCAATAGCTCAGCTTGACAATGTCAAGGTGAGCTAAAAATACGGGAGTAACGGGACGTATATTCAATAGTTGGCAGCATCCTATCCGAGTTGCTGGCAATGGCACAACATATAATTTATTATAGGTTATAGCATTTATAATATCACAGTGTGCCACCCTGTGGCAGCAGGCTCATGGTTGTAAGTTGGACCCATCCAACCTCTTTTACTGTGTATACTTAACAGTTAACAGAGCTTGTTTGTAATCACATCTCAGGCAGGGTTCGACACTAACCCACGTCCGACCGACCTAGTCAGGTAAATGCTTGGTCCGGTCGCATACAACCAGAGTCCTAGTAGCCCGACTGGTCGTGTTAGAATTGGTCATATATATTGCACTAAAAGGTCACATCTGGCTAGACTGGTTCGCGGCCGCACTGTTTGTCGCAGAGCGTGTACATTGTCTAGCAGAGCGTGTGGCCGGATACCAGTCTACCCTTCGGCAAAAACAATAACGTGGCTTGCTGCCAGCCGCAGTACTTAGACGATCGATAAACCGTGCGCTCGTGTATGCCCGTGGTAGAATACAAATGCTGCACGTGAACTCGGCCCACGCGCGATTTCAACCGCGGGAAACAGCATATATCTATGAATTCATATGATGACACACTCTTAATATCTAATTAAAGTTTTTCATAACAATGGTCTGGGTCTGGGCTAGTGAAAGTTAGGTCAGGGCTAGTGGTTTTCCTCAGTTACTAGCCCGATGGTCTAGTGAAATAAAAAGTTAATGTTGAATCCTGCTCAGGGTGCGAAATTAACACGAGTCCGGAGCCGAATACTCCCTGATTTACTGTCGGACTCCCTGATTTTACATATGCAGGAGTCCATGTAACTCCCTGAAAATTCTGCTATATACTAACTAGTTCGTTCCAGAGCAGGGCCTCGCAGAATTACAGTGTTTTTTCAGCAAATGTCCAAAGAAAATTTGGCAGACGTGCAACCACATGAATCTTCAAAATAAACACATGTGTTATTGTTAATATCTGTAGTTTTGAACTTCAGATTGCGGACTCCCTCATTTTGCTGCGGACTCCCTCCCTTTTTTTGAGGGTAGGGAGACTGTTGGACTCCCTTGTTCAAAAGTTAATTTCTACCCCTGACATCTAGTGTTACGTTGCCGCACACCTATCTAATAGTAATAGTATCAGTCACAGGCACTTTGAACGTTTCAATAATAAAATGATAGTTACATATAAACACGAAATTTATTTACTACCAGTCTTAGTGTTTCTCTATTTTCTTTCGCCTATTATTCCTGATAATTTCCTGTACATGTCATTTCAATGCTCCTCTGCAACACGCAAGTACACCGAATGCACGCTGCTGTGTACAAACAATAAAATTATAGAATAGGTGGGAAAGTGTGAGTGCAAAATTTGCACGACGCTCTCGCTTCACTTCACACGATCACGGCACAAATGCACACGTCTTGAAATAGAGCTCGGAAGCATGGACGCTCGAACAAAGAATGCAATGTGGTGCCTTTACTCATGTACTTGCTCCCATTTACATTTTGGTAGAGTGGGGGTTTTCTGCAGGAATTCACCAGGTATCGCTGGTTAAAGTAGGCAGTACCAGTTGGCAAAGTTATAATTTGAACAAGTGAACATTTAGCTACACATAGATACCAAAATGGGGACCAAATGACAAATTGTGTAATTGTGCCGTGATTGTGTGAAACAAAGCTAGCGTCATGCAAATTTCGCGGGAACGCTTTTCCACCCGTTTTATAAATATAATTTTGTTGTTTGTGCACAGAGGCATGCGTGCAGTGTACTTGTGTGCTGCAGAGGAGCATTTGAACAGCATTTTCAAGAAATGTTCAATAATACTAATACTAATAGGCAAAACAGTAGAGAAACAGTTTAAGACTTTGTCTTTGGTAGTAAATACATTTCGTGTTTATTTATTTACCATCATTTTAACATTGAAATGATCCAAGTGCCTGTGGTATTAGTAGTACTTTACGGCATTATGTGCTCAATCCTAGTTTGGGACACGGGTATATAGCGTTCGCATATGTGCTAACCTAATCCGGGGTGCTAAACTAGCATTTCCATTGCCTTGACTTGTCTTTGGTCGCGGTATGGCACAACATGAACATCCGATGATGAACATGATATAGCGCTAATCTACAATACATTGGATATATGGTTCGTGGTCACAGTGAGTTATAATGATTATAATGAAACTTTATGGGTCGTGCTAAAGATTTCCATGTCGTATACGGGTACGTTTTGTTTTTGAAAACAAATAACAATACTTACTTCGACGAGAACTTCCCATCACAAACGCAAATACCAAAACCACATCCTCTATAATCTTGGATGTTCAGCTGTTTTTGGATACGATCGTCGCGATCCGTGCGATCGGTTACGGTTGGCCAACGTACTCAGAAATTTTACCTCGGCAAAATGATACCATTTTTAAGCTAATAATAAGCCTTGTTACACAATTTAACTGCGGTTAAATCGTTCTTACAGCGGCAAAATCTTCACTTTTTACTCAGCAACACGAGCAACAGTCCCCATGTTATGTATACCTAAAGTAATAGCCCCAAGTGACCCAACCCTGACCAGATCAAAATTACAAAGAAACAAACAAATCATCTTTCACAATAAATATCACCTCAAATATCATTGTGTTTACACTTTTACATTGTTTATAATAAGATAAATAGAGCGAACATCAGGGAGGCAGATTAGATTTGGTGATTTGGTGATTTGGTGATTTGGAGATTTGGAGACAGGGAGACAGGGAGAGGAAAGACTTGCAAGTGGGACTTAGAAGAAAGCTAGAAACGGGAGATTTAGAAGAGGTTCGATTTAGAAGCTGGATTTAGAGTTCGATCTGGGAGTTAGAACTATAGTAAATTAAGTAATACTGTGATGTAACGAGCTGTACGTATTATAAGAGGAAATACTGTAATTCCCTGTACCTTGTTTATACCGTATTAAAGATTTATCAGTTGGGTTACCTAATTATAACTCATAAATTGTTATATTTAATCATTGTTAACTTATAACTCTCTATCACTTAGTTTCGTTCTCTATCTAGTATCTACGCATCGACACCACGGCACACGTATAAACTACCAGTATAGCTATATCGATCTAATTTGTAGGCTGGTTTTACACGCGGCAGTGACACCTTTTATACCCCTAGACACAACTGACGAATACGGTAAACATAGGTGACGGTTCAGTCGCACAGAGCAAAACCGCTACACTGGCATAGCCTGCGCGCCGCGCGCCACGTGCGCCCCGCCGGCCCTTGGAGGCGGATGCGCAATCATCAATGTCGATAATACGTACGTTTGATTTGTCAAAAGTTAGTCGCGTATATGGATAGCCAACACAAATTAATTCTATGGAACACCACGCGCAGCGTATGAATGTCGACGATTTTCATAATTCGTAGATCTACCAGAGTCTACATTTATTTTATTTTTTGTATTTGCGTATACCCTAAAATGTCCTTTTTTTAAGTATACGGCGTATACATAAGTATACCCTCCACTACATCACTGGTAATAGCACATATAAATTAGTGTGGCGGGAAGGGGGCGGGAAGCTATGGACGAAGTGAAATTACGTATTATGTCGGATTTTACCATGCACATCTTTCACCGCATCTCATTGCGGGATGGGGTACAGGGGGTTGTCTTCCTCCCGCCTCCCTCACCCTCTCCTCCCACCTCCCTCCCCTGTCCTCCTATCTCCCTCCCTCAACACCTCCAGGATAATTTATATTTTGCATTTTCTTTTTTTAATGTCTCTTAGTTTCTCTGACAGTTACTAGTTAGCGTAATAAATGTATTACTCCTGTACAATGTATTTTCTCATGTATTTATTTCTCGTGCTATGGATTTCTTTTTTTTCTCTCTTTACTTAGTATACTCGATCTCTCTAGCTCTCTCTCTCTCTCTTTCTCTCTCTCTCTCTCTCTCTCTCACACACAAACAAGCACACAACACACAGCACACACACACACACACACACTCTCTCTTCTTCTCTCTCCTTTCTCTTTCCTCTCTCTCTGCCTCTTGCTCTCTCTCTCTCACCCCGCTCTCTTCCCCTCTCTCATCTCTCTCTCGCTCTCTCTCTCTCTCTCTCCTTCTCTCTTCTCATCTCTCTCTCTCTCTCTCTCTCTCTCTCCTCTCTCTCTTTTCACGCGTTACAACATAGTATATAGTTTGTTTTGGATGAAAAATCCCTCCAAACCCACGTGAGCCTCCCCATACCTCGCTCGCTTCCGCTCCGCTCCCCGGCCGCTTTTGACTCCCGTCTCCTCCCGCCCCCTCCTCTCCGTTCTCATCGTGCCCCTTCTCCATTATTAAATATATAAACAAGAATATACACAAAAGTGGACCCTGCAACAATTTAGTCCTCGCCCAATTTGCTATGCGTATTGCCTTAAAGTGTAGGGTGGGAATTTTACGCAAGCCCCAACCCTTTAAACTAATCTTATTCAGTAAAATGTTATTATCGTATAGGTAGCTGTAATTTATATTAATTCCACTCTACGTCAATAACGTTTTAGAGCATTATATCATATCTTAATAATGCATTTTTATG